TGCCACCGTCAGGTCAATAATGTCACTGACTTCCGTCAGGGCCTCCATCCAGTTCCAAAGCAATGAGGTTTGGAACCGCATGTGTAGGGCCGTTAGTGCTGCCTGTCTATCAGAGAAGATGGCTATCTTCCGGGAATGTATTCCTAGCTTTTTTATTTCTCGGGCGCAGTGTTCAATCGCTGTGATTTCAGACAGGAAAACTGTAGCCTAGGTTTACCGATAGTTCGGTCTTTGAGTTCATCCTGAAAATTCCAGCTTCCGTGGCCATGTCGGTTTTGGAGCTGTCAGTATACCAGTAGGAGTTTGCCTTCAGCGGTTGTTTGGCCCATTCTTTCCGTTTTGGTATCAGTACCTTGTACTTTTCAGTAAAATTGTATTTTGAAGAATTGGCATCAATTGGCATGCCTAATATGGCATCTGCCTGTATCTCCTGCCTCAATTTCCATTATTTATAGTAAATTACAATAATGCACTAAATTTAGAAAGTTAAATGCATCAATAGATTTAATCAAACGGTGATAATTATATTAAAGTATCATTTAAAAGGGTCAAGCAAATAAACGGCTTGAAGTTGTCCTTCGTCTTCGTCTATTTTTTCCTCTTTATTCACACCTGTTTTTTCAAAAAGGGCCTAATTAACTTTTCGACCGGGAAAAGGTTAATTGTAAAGATCAATAGATTTATGTTGTATTGGAGTACGGAGGGTAGGTAGTAGGGCAAGGGAGCCTGGCTGGTAATGATTTTCTCCGGGAGGGGGCTTGTGAATGGAACTCTCCCTTTAGTGGGTCATGGTTATTGATCTCGGCCCCGCATGCGCCTGACAGATGGTTGCCGGCATATTTATTATTTACAAAAATAATACGACCGGGTTCTTCCAAATGCGGAAAAAAGGAAAAGGGATCCCGCCGAGGACCCGTGCTCGACCGAGGAACCCGGCCGCCGACGGGGCGCAGGCTTCCAACCCGCCCTTAATTTTAGCCTTTCGCCCTTCGCCCTCAGGACCGCCGAACCGCCAAAACCCTTTTAAAGTTCTCCTATTCGGAAAAACTGGAATAGCTTAATTCAACTGAAACCGGACGAACACAAAATTTTTTAAAATAATTTTCAGATTAAACTTCACGCCCTTACTCAAATATGATAAATCGATTATGAAAATAGCTTAAAGACTGGATAAAAGTACTCAAGACGGTTTTGTTTAAAAAAACAACTTTCGGTGTTGATATACTAATTGCAATTCTAGCCATCATGAACAAATATTTTTAAAGTACTTCAACATTTCATATAAAAAAATTATAATTCTATAAGTTACAATTTTTTTCTGACTGCTATCATTCTAACGGTTATTTAAGCCCGTAAGTTACAATTATGTTTCAAAAAGAGCAACAAAAACATCAGTATTTTTTTATATTTGAGCAAACCCTATTTGTAAAAAATATATTATGCACGATTATTATTATTACACGTAGAGGAATAAAAGTATATAATTCATAAACCATTTTGCAATAACTAAAAGAAAAATCGTATTAGATGATAGTTTTAAAGTTCTACTCTTCAGAAAAACTGGAATAGCTGTAATACAACTGAAACCAGACGAACTCACATTTTTTTAAAATAATTTTCAGATTAAACTTCACGCCCTTACTCAAATATAATAAATCGATGATGAAAATAGCTTAAAATCTTGGTAGATGTTCTCAAGACGGTTCTGTTTAAGAAAAGAACTTTTGGTGTTGATATACCAATTGCAATTCTAGCTATCATGGACAAACAATTTCAAAATATTTCAACATTTCTTATCAAAAAATTTGTAATTTCATAAGTTACAATTATGTTTAAAAAGAATCAACAGAAACATCAATATGTCCTTATATTTTTAATAAACCCTATTTGTGAAAAATATATTATGCACGATTATTATAGTGACACTCGTATAGCAATAAAAGCATAAGATTTATGAACAATTTTGCAGTATCTAAAATGAAAATCGTATTAGATGATAGTTGAAATCAAAGAAACATACGTTAAACAATGCTGTAAAGTATAAAATGAATACAATTAAAACACTTTTTTATGTTTAAAATGTTTAAAGGATTCGAACCGATTTCTTCATTTTTTCTTTTATCATAGCTCTCACAAATTAAAAACGCTCTTGGAGATGATAATTTAACACCCAGGTCAAAAATATCTCAAGCATTCATTTATTTATACTAATCAATCAAATGCTAATAATTCATCGTTTCTGATCTGAAAAATAACAAAAGTCATCCCTATTCCTAAACCTAATAAAGATCACGCCCTGTCTGGTAACTATTGCCCAATATCACTCCTTCGAAAAATTGCAGAGAAAATAGTACTGCAAAGAATTAGGCACGTTTTAAATGAAAATTATTATGCCTTGCCAATTTTCCTTCAGGCCCATACATTCTATTTCCATGCAGCTGGCCAGAGTGGTGGATATGATTCTCCATAATTTTAATATAAAAAGCACGTTGAGATGGTAGTGATGACGTGGAGACTGTGCTTAGCGCAGAGGTCTTGTATTTAAACTCATCTTATCTATTCGATAACTACGTAACATATTTAATTGGTAATTACCTAAACTTAATAACCTAGCAAACATTTGCAAAGAATGATGGCATAGGGTCACCTTTAAAATGTATAAAATCTGAGTTCCCCAAGGGTCTGTTCTTAGACCAACCTTATTTAACATATTTATAAATGACTTTTGATGGTAAAACGTACAGCTGAACCGGTCCTTGAGGATGATACGGCCTTTTTAAGAGCCTCCTATAGGGTTGATTCTGCAGAGAATTATCAGTAATGTTATGAAAAATGGAGAATCAGACCTGATGGTAGCAAGCATGAGGCAATACTGTTTACTCGATGCACACATTGTCAATCATGTCAAAATAAATAAATCGCTTAAACCATAGGCTTGGAATGTTTCCAAGGGATTTCAAACTTAATTCTAGAATCATTGAAAAACAATGCTTAAAAGCATGTGCCATTTTAACTTTGCCCGTTCTTTAATAAGCGTACGTGAATGGACAGTAAAATAACAAACCTATTTATGAACCCATACATGTTTAGCGGTCATAATTGATCTATTTATTTCAATTAATGATACATTTTATCTAAAGTCTTGGTTGAGATGAGAAAGTTAGTGTCTCGAGCGCGATTCGAACAAACAACCTTCCGCTCATTTCACCGCTGCTCTAAACCGCATGATCTATCGTGGCTAAGCTCTGATCTCAAATGGTCAGAGCAGAGGTGTATTAAGCCGAAGGTCGTGAGTTCGAATCCCGTTCGTAACACAAACTTTTTCATCTCAACAAAAACTTCAGATAAGAACTACAATTAATTGAAACTATTTATCAACTCTAAACATATGTACATAAATAACTTTCGGTACTCCCATTTGAATTATGTTTAAATCCAATTTTGCTAAGCTCCAAGTAGTACAAACTTCAGTTTTCAGATTAAAGGAGGGTTTTCCACATAGGCTACATGCATGTAACACTAAACATACTAGCTTAACATATTTTTATTTATAAAAGGGAAGACTTGAACTACCGCTAACATTAGCATAAAAGACTTAAGCACTATTGGAAAAATAATGAATATGTGTTTAAAAAAATGTGCCCCTGCCAAAGTACCTGGTACAGGTTTAACAACAAGTGAATTTGTGTTTGTATTGTGAATTTGTACTTTATTATTCTTATTGCCTTTTTTTATTTATTGAACTCATTTAACTATCTAATGCTGTGATAATACCTTTATTGTTTTGTGTAATACTTGGAATATTATCCTACATTATTTTATGTTTAATGTATATGTATTTTAAGATAAAATGCTTATATTTAATGCAGACTAGATGACAAAGGTGCATTCACGTCCTAGGACCAATATTGAATATAACTATGTAAACAAGATTAAGTAAATCAAACATTATGTGCAATAAAATTCATATATTCATACAATACTCACAAAACGTTAAGACTATTAAATTTTTTAAAAAATAACAAACTTTCTAAATTCCAATTTAATTTTATCTATCTACATTAATTATGAAATATTACAAAACATACTACCTGTAGAAACTATATTGTTTTTAAAGTCACAATTGCAATCCAAATTAAAATTTTACTAATATTGAAATTCGTATTTTTTTAAATTTGGTTTTTAATCTTTAACGGTTTGAGGCTATGTGAAATAAAAAGTGATCTTATGAAGCCGGTTACAGCTGGTTGATAAGGCAGGCAATTGAATTGTTATTGTTATCAACTTGGGGAGATGGGTTCTATGACTTCGTATACTATGTCGTTCCGGTAATAATTCTTATTTTTCAGTATATTTAACTTGTTGAATTGATGGCATGTTGGGTCCTGCGCTGGCCTTTAGCTTCCATGGGCAAAGTTGATCAAATGTAACCTATGGATGTCAGACGTTTACGTCAAAGAGCGTTCGGATCGCCATAAATCTGTTCTTCAATATCTAAACCAATAATCAAAACGTTGGAATTTATTTTAAATTTTTATTATGTTTATGGTGATGTTTGAATTAAAGACGGATTGAAAAAAAAGGCCTTCGTTAGTGAAGATTCTCATTTGGCTCAAGCTTTTTTGGAACCGCAGATTCATATTCGACCCGTAAAACGCTGTATTTTTAACCTTGTAAAAAAAATTCCTGTCTCTCCATGGGTACAAGTATTGCGTGTTTTCTCTTCTGGATATCCTAATGGCATTATGCTGAGGGCAGATCAATTACGTATGCCGGAGGAAGAAATAATTGTGAAGGAACTGCCTTCCTGTGTGTGAAATCCGAAATTCTGGAATGGACCATACTTTGTCGTTATCTATAGTATATCGCTAGTGTTCTTTGGCCGCTGTAATTGAATTCGACTTCCAAAGAGATCATTTTCTCCTGAAAATGAAAAACAATAGTTTATCATCCATCTTTTTGAATAAACTAATGCACTAAGAGTCATAAGAAATTGGTAACCTTGAGACAGATCTCTCTGCTTCGGATGTCGATTTGGTTTCGTTCGAACCTACAACACGGACCTCAAGAGTTTCAGTGGGAAAAGCGCTTTTAATTTGAACGATTAGCCTCTAAATATTTATTGTTGAACGTCTATCTCAGCATGCAAATACATAAATTTATAGAAATTGATTAGATAAAGGATGACACAGCTATAGTAAAGCTAAAATACTCGTCCAGAGAATATATGATTCAATGCTGGAGTAAAAAGTCTTTTTTTCGAAGAAAATTCTTTTACTTTAAATAATTTTATTTGGGTGCATTTTAACATGCTATAAATTTTGGTATCTATGACTTTGCCTACTGCATCCAAGTGAGGTTTCTGATCCTTTCGACTTCTCTCTACGAACCATCCCTTTGCTTGCTGAAGGCCCTATATCACTATCGACTGTAACCGCTGACCTCGATTTTAAAGGTGTGTTCACCAAGCTGTCTGGTCGAGTTTTATTCGATGTTTGTTTCATGTTTAAATGAGATGGCATCTTTTCTATAGCGTGTGTTTTTCCCAACGAAGCAGCAGATCTAGTCACTCCTAGTGGATCTTTGAGAAGTTTAGCCTTAGTTTTATTAGACAATTCACTTTCTGAATTCCCTGCTGAGAACATGTGCTCTTTTGCAAGTAAAGTCGGTTTGCCCGCTGAAATCCCTGATTTTGCTTCAATGGGCAGTTCATTGTTAGACGAAATTAAAGATTTAGCAAGAGGAGGGTTAACGACTACTGAAAGCGTCGGCCGTGGACCTTGTTCTGTTGAAACGTAAATCTTGCTCCTGCTCTTTGAATCTATAGCACGCCCACTGCCCATAATTACTGAAGTATTACTTACAAGTGGAGGTTCTATTTTCACCGATACCGTCGGCCGAACGTCTTTTGCTACTGTAAGGTAAGGTGAGCTAACACAAGATTGTTCTCTTACAAGGATAGGCGCATTCGGTGTTCTTTCAGCACAGGCTGCAATGTTTTTTGTAAACAGCGGTTTCTCATGGAAAGGTTGTCTAGGGACTGAACACTGTGCCAGGGGGTCGGTACGCTCAGAAGTGTGCGTAGGAGCAACAGAGGGCTGTTTACATACTGAAGCGGATGCCGATTTGTCAAAATCTAAACTCTTAGCATGTGAAGCCGACTTTTCCAGGGGTTTTCGATTCACAGAGACTCCTTCCTGCGGTGTTTGGGATTTTTCTTGGGATAAAACAGCGTATCCAGTCGACTCTTCAGAAGGTTCCGTGCTAAGGGAAGTCGACGAAGTTGCGACACATGTCTGAAGCGTTGGCCTAACAAGTCGTTCGGTGGAGGTTGAATAAATCTGAACGGGCTTTGTGCTTTTTACATCCGAAGAACTTTTTCCACTGTGCGTTTGAGACGAAGGGGGTGTTTTTGTGTATTCGATTGCAGCAATCGGCGCAGGTACAAAGTGGGGCGAAGTCAGTTCGTTTTCGGCTGGTTCTTCAGTTTTCACAATTTCAGTTTCAAGGTGAGGTTTTGATAGCGATTTGACCGACTTCTCTTTCACCAGTTCTGTGCTTTGTTGTTTCCTACAACAGTCAAAATTCCGTTTTTCCGCTTAGAAACAACAAGATGGTGAAAAGAGAATTTTAGTCAAATAGGACAATCATAAAATAATAAGCTCATAATTAATGAATTAGTTAAACTACATTTGTATCTGCACTTTGTCAATAGTACGAGCTAACCTGTGGGAATTACACTCCAAATTTTGCAAGATACTCATTTATATTTTATTTTTCGGCATCACTCTAATATACAAAGTATTTTATTACAATCAATGTTTAATTGCCTTTTAGCCTTATGATGTTGGTTAACAATCTGACAATTTTTATGATGTTTTAGTAAGCATAAATGAAGAACATACGTTTAATAAAAAGTTAATTTTTCTATTCATACGAACCATCTCTAAACATTTTCATTTCCAAATATTGTGCATTAAATTGAGCGTAGAGCATAAAAAACAATTTCAGAAAAGTTTATTTAAGTTTAACATTATCGATAACTTTCATTTATTTTAAAATATTTTTATACAATTTACTTCTAATACAATATTTAAAAAATATTTGCCCCCAAAAATATGTGACACAGAATCACATTTTCTGTATAACAATTACAAAATTTTATTTCTTATCAAATTGCGTGTTGTATGAACATGTTAATAAAAGCCATAAAAGTGCATAACAAACACCCTTCTAACAGTGTTTTTTTATTATTATTATCCTTAAAAAATGAACTTACCGAAAACTCTTATCATCGGCGATTACTAAATGACGAACAAATTTTACTTTTTTTAAGTCATGACATCTTAAAAACATAAAAATGCTCGAACGGAGATGAATATATATGAAAATTTAAGTTTTTACCGATTCCATAAAACTGATCTTCCTGAGTGAGATAGTGCGACGGAGTATGACTATCATAATTACAATTTTACAAAATCAAAACAAAATCAATAATTATTTTTGTAGTATACTACAAAATAACGTACGGGTGATGATTTGGTAGTATTAATTAATTTAAAAAACTCGTTTCACAGGTTTTTTAGTGTTTTGACAATGGACGTTGGGAAACAGTGATTAGAATTTCAGCAGACAAGTGTGAAATACAAATGCGATTTACTGTTGGTCCACTGGCTCATCTTGTTTTCTGTATTGAAACGGTCTTTGGGCCATGTATTCGCCTATTGCTTTCACCATATCTTCGTTTATGTCCCGCCTTTGGTCTTCTGATTCTGGCTTGAGAATTACCGCGGACTGCTTCCCCCACGACCTCCACCCATGGTTTTTTGAGTTGTACTTTTCGCCTTTGTAGGGCGCCGGCGTACGCAGCAGCTTTGGGGATTCTAGACAAAAAACCATTATATTATAATTTATTATGTTGGTATAAAAACTAAAATTGTTTCTCTCCTGACTATCCTCGAAATAACCACTGAAAAAGTAGAAAAAGGTCAGGTTTTAAGGGTGTCGTGAAATATTGGGTTAATCTGAATACGATACTGCAATTAATGAAAAAGTATTAATCATGTTCGCTAAATTTTCAGTACATTTTAGTATATTATTTTTAAATATTTTCCTAATTTTTCCCATTCCATATATTTTAACTAGCTAACTCAATAAATTATTAACAATCTTGCAATAACTGAAAACAGTATTATATGTAATAAACAAATGTTTTTAACAAAAATGATACCATCTATTGACATTTTTATGTACCAAAATAAACTTAATTTTGATCAAATTAAGACAACCTTTTTACACCAATGGATTAAATTATACTCTCGAAATATCACTCCGTCGACCACGACGAAAAATTAAACACTCAAAAGTATGAAAATACATACTTTAAAGGCGAACTTCTTTTAAAATCCATGTATATCGCGAGAGTGATTTAATAAAGAATATAAAATACAAGTATACAGAACATTTTGTTATAAATCATGTTGAAAATGTTTCTAATTTATTTATGGGGAATATGCTGGGTAAAAACTTGCTTTCATCTTAAATCAACAGTTATTAATTATCTTTTTGATTTAACATTTTACTTAATAAATTCACTAGTTTCGTGGTCCGCTTGACCAATTAATATCTTACCATTAATTAAGGTTTTCAATTGAGATAAAAAAGTCAATGGCACGAGCGGGATTCGATCGCACGATCTTCGGCTTGATACGCCGCTGCTCTATAACTTGAGCTATCGTGACCTCAAAAAGGAGGGAAAATTCAAAAGGTGTGATTGAGATGGGAGGTTGGTGTCCGAGTGGATCGAGGTCACGATAGCTCAAGTGGTAGAGCAGTGGCGTATCTAGCCGAAGGTCGTGGATTCGAATCCCTCTCGTGCCATTAACTTTTTTTCATCTCAACTAAAAACCTTCGCAAATTCCAAAAATTCCACCTATCGCAAAAACTGCTTGATCAAAACATCCTCACTAAAAATCAAATATAAAGCGGAATTGGTTACGAAGTTATATAATGGTCTTATCCATCCAGCCGCTTTGGCACCGGAGGCTAGGTAATTGTAGCCTACAAAACAACCAGATTTTAACACCATATTCCTCTCACTCACTCTTAAATACATTCTTACTTATTTACATATTCATTCAGTTAAGTTAGAGTACTCAAAGATATTCCGCCATCCTCTAAACATATTATATAACCAATCGATCCTTTCACAGTACACCTTCACGCTAAAAAAATACTTTCAGTCTCAATAAACTCAACGAAATATGAGACAAGATATATACAAAGTATATGCAGTAAGATAGTCCTATTTCCTCCAAAAATTGAAACAGAGGACCCTCTCATGCGCTACCATGCTCAAGCACTACTGTCATATCGGTGTTAATCCAACGCTATGTAGTAGTTAAAGTGGACACATGGAGCAACCTTTCTCTACATGCCGGACGATTGTGCGGTCTTTGGCCCAAAACTAAGTTTCCGTGCGTCAACCGCACATGGCCTAATCGTGTGAGTGTTACGCTTCTGCCAATCTGGCCCATCGACTCTGCTAATTTATTTTAAGCATGTCCATTGATACTTTTGTTTCTTGTCGCTTGATCGAGGTGAACATGTCTGCAGGTCGGGAAGAATCGGCCTCACCCGCCTCTTCTAAGAAGTCAGGTCACATTACAGCTTTCATATAACCTAATTGAGATTCAGTGGAGTACTTAATATTCCGCGGTGGCCTTGTCACATTACACATTCACACCAATAAATACACTCAACACACTCTTGAAACACAAAACTATCAGTACTGATACAAATTAAACAACCCTGTTTCGTCCAAGAAACAAAACAGAGAGTTTGTTTATTAAGTTTTTGATTATAATAGTTCAGATATAATTCAGATTTAACAAGTATATAATTTGTGATTATATATAATTTTGTTCATGATTTTTCATTTTTACTTCGTTTATCTTTTTTTTTTCCATTTGACAATATTTAATGTACGTGCCACGTTATTTTGATACGATAAAACGTCTATACATACTTGATGTTAGATGAACCGAACTTTTTTGATTTTCGTGAATAATCTGGATCTCCCTATGGACAAGAGTATGAAAAAATAAATTCAATTGTTATCTGCCAAGCTTTAGACCTGTTTTAAGGTCATCATCGGGATTGAAAAATATGTAAATCTGAAAAAAAGTACACAGTTTTACATAATTAATTTTTTTTTTTTTTTTTTTTTTTTTTTTTTTTTNTCATCAATCGTTTCTAGGGTTAATTTAAGTTTTTTATCAATTGTTAAGTGCTTAAATGGTGATTTGCAGATGGATTTTAGTTCCGTTAGTACTGGATTTATATTTTTCAGGTTGTTGATAAATATTGGTGGAGGTTTCTCTGGTTTATCGGCTTGATTAGGGATTAGCTGTTCGGCTTGAGATTGAGAGTCCATTGATTCCAACGGCGCAAATTTATTTTTACTAAAAAAAGGCGATTCATCTACCTTGCGTTTTTTAGGGTTGGCGGATTCATTTCCTTCCATTTTGGAGTATGAAGAAAGCAATACTCGCAGATTTATCTCCTTCTGTGTTTCGTTCTTTCAATCACAGTTGTTTACGTAAATACACGAGTGCGATCCTCACTCGACCAAGGTTCGATAACAACTGATAATTAATTTTGTAATAGGTTTTCCATGTTGTGCATAGCAGTCTCAACAATCCCAAAAAAATTTAAAAACGTTATTAAACATTTAAAATAGATCGAAAGTTAAGCAGATAACAGTTGAATTTTTTCATCCACACGACTACACCTAGAATAGGTTATAGCGTAGTTATTATAGTGAATAGTTATACAAACTACACTAAAAATTATTCAAAATTAACCGTGCAAAATGCATCTGTTTATCTTTAATCAATCAACCAATTTATTTTTACCCCAACGAGTATTATCTAACCATACAGTAATAAGAAGGCACAAATTGAGATCGGCAATTATTTAAATATAATCGTGGCGAATGTTTCTGTTTTGAACTAACAGATTGGTAGGGTCACAGATTTGGACGTGGCTTCTTTGGTGATTTTAGCCTCCAAAATATCGAAAACCTTGTGCATAGGCCATGATTTCGCTAAAAAATTGGAAGTTGAAATTATCCGTTTTTTGATATTTTTATTTCGCCCTTCTACTTGATCAAATCAACTATGTGAATATTAACAATTTATAGCATTTTTTATGTATATTGCTATAAAAATATTGTCAATGTTGTCAAAGCTTATCAAAAATCATAAGTTTTCTTAAAAACTAGGTCATTCATTTTTTCGTAGAACTAATGTAAAATTTCTTTTCAGCATCTCTAAAGAGACCTCTAAATTGATGAGATTGAGACCTCTAAAATTGATTAACACCGATTTCTGCGAAAGTCTGTATCTAAGGGTTTTGTAACGTTGCAATCATGAAACTGACAATGACGTCAAGTTTTGACTGGAAATGTAGTAAAGTGAATGCAATTACTTAGTCTTACTTGTCAATAAAAACTCCACTTTTCCAATAACAACATGTTCATTATAAATAGTCTTAAGGGAAATTAATAAATCGGCCTAATGAAGGGGCTTTTGTCAAAATCTAATTTTAGTCGCGAAAATAAATGATCATGAATCGTTTTTTATAAATTTAAAAAATATTATTTTTGGTGTATTAATTTCATTGTTGGTTAAGATAAAAACAAAAACGTTCTATGACGCAGAATATTCTAATTTGGTGTGATTTAAAAAGATAAAGTAGCATTTATTCATGAGCTGAAGAGTGCATGAGCTACCGAAATATACAAATTAAAAAAGCAAGCAGCTGCGAGTAATTTCAAACAAAATAAAAATATCCTCTTACCATGTATGTTTTTAAACTTAACGCAATTAATACAAATCGAAAGAAGTGTTTATTAAAAATTGTTAGATATTGATGAATTTTGCATACCGACCTAGAATAGGCTAAACCCGCACAACGTCTGTGTCATGCCGAACTGTTGGCCCGTCTTATTTATTTTTTTTAATTATTTTATTTGTACCCTTACTTACCAGCACTTTTTGCAAATTTGATCATAAACCGTTTTTGCACACGATCACGGCCCTAACGCTAATACCATCGCTGCAACCGGAAAACACATGCCAAGAGAATCCAGCCAATGCAGGCACTCAATGTGAAGGGTTAGGGGGCAAGGAGGTTTATTTATTATTATTATAGGTTATTTAGATGAATAAGCAAAATATAATTATTTGGTATGATTTAAAAAGATAATAAGATAAAGATGCCAAGAGAAACCAGCCAATGCTGGCACTCAATGTGCAGGGTTAATGAGCAAGGTGGTTTATTTATCATTATTATAGGTTATTTAGATATATAGACAGAACCTTCTAAGTTGGTATGATATAAAAAGATAAATAAACAAAATACGGCTTTTATTGCATGTTTTAACAAACTTTCTGTTAGCAAAGTAGGTCAGAAAATGGTCAAAACTTGCCCTCATTGTCAGATTCTTGATTCTAGAGTTATAAAACCGTTAGGTACCAGCGTTCACTGAACCCAGTGTGAATAAATTTTTTGACTGATAATTTCGACGAGCCTAAGTCGTGATTGACATTCCTAGTGCACTAATTTTTGTTAAAAGCTGGTGGACCACTTTTCGTGGTAGATAATTCGTTTTAAAAAGGGTGTAAAGTGCATTTTATAACAAAACATAAAAATCGGACTACTATTTCCATTTAAGAAACGAGGTTAATTGCTGACAAACAATTGTGTCATTTTTATATTTTCTCATAGAAATATTTTATATATTTAGATGATACATACGTCGTTAAAAAGCATATATACTTCTACTTTCAAATAGTCTGTTTGACGTTAAAATGCTTTTAACCTTTTCCGAATTATAGCCGTTTCAATCACACATTCCGATAATGATTTCTTAAAAATCGCAAAAATTTGAAGCGTCATGAAATCGATAAATTTAAATTCAAACAAAAATTAACATTTAGGGGTCTCTAGTTGTACTAAAATGAAATTTCATATTCTTGGATAGCTTTTCCGATATTTCTATTTCACTCTACATAAAAGAATTTAATTTTTAAACGTTCAGTTCACCCATTTGATTTGAGCAAGCAGAAAGGCGAAATAAAAATATTAAAAAACTGAAAATTTCAATTTTTAAAAAAAGTTTTTGGCGAAATCAGGGCCTATTCACAAGAAGTGGTGTATACATAGAACAACTAAAAAAGTTTAATCCAGATCGGTGACCTTGTCAACTTGTCAAACCGATCGACCTGCCATTAAGGCCTGTATTCTATGTTTTCAGCTAGATTTTGATACATCACCATGTATCTACTAATCATAAATGCATTCAACAGTAAAACTGTAGACATCCAAATTGATCAACAACGGTTTAAAAACAATCTTTGATGTCTATCTTTTTCTATTGAATTTTACTTGTTTGCTTTGACCAATTAACCAAACATTTAGACCTGTATTTGATATTATTTAGCTATTTGTTAGCTAGCTATTGTTTTTTGTCATTTACCGGGCCCAGTTGGCATGGACGAATCGTTCCCTTTGGCCGAATTCGACCGAACGCAGGGGAGCCAATGGAAGATACGTCCCATTGTGATAAGCGGACTGTTTCCCTGAAAGTATTTTGTTTATTAAATTTACTATTTTCTATAAGTGACCATACAATTTACTCGACTTACCCTCCTCCTCTCCGCCTTTACTTCGGCACTGCCAAAATCTGAAAAATGTACAAAATTGTAACAAACAGACCAAGCAACCAAAGAATAGGAAATTTATTGGTTGTTACTTTATTTATTTGCTCTTTCTATGGGTTTATGACTGAAAGTCATAATACGTAAATTAAAACGGATTTTTAAACATTCTTTAAGCAATAATTAAAGTTTTGAGTTCTATTTATAAATGGGTAAAAATGACAAAACTAAATTGCTCAAAAATAAATAGGGATAGAGCCAATTTTGTAATATTTATTTCTCAAGCATATTTATTTTATTTAGTTTCTAAATGGCATTAAAATTTATTAGAAATGATTGTGTTTTACTGAAGGAAAATTTAATTAAAGGATTTGGAAAAATTACAAAATAAAAGGTCAAAACCCGGAAGCTTTCTTTTTCTTTATATTTCATCCGTCATTTGACCTCCCAAAGATCCAACTCGTAACATTAATTGCTGCGGGTCGATAATTTCAATTTCATCTTGTATTTCGTCGTCTAACTTCATTCTACGTGCCCTGAGGATGGCGATATAAGTCGCCGAAAGCTCGGTTGAACCCGGAAGTTGTTCTCTTTCTTTTTATTTCATCCGTCATGACCTCCCAAAGATCCAAATCGTAACAAAAATAAAAGGTTTATTAATTCCATAATTTTGAATTATTATTAATTCCATAATTTTGTTTAATAGGAACAATCATTTTTTTAAACAATTAATACCGTGTATAATGTCCTCTGTTAGGTAAAACCTCTGTGCACCTGTTAGGCATACTGTTTATAAGGTTGTCACTAATTTCATAAGGAATTTCACTCTTAGATGAACGCTCCACTCAGTTGTGTTCACTGGCTGCGGAAGATGATCGAAAACCCTTATCTACAACGCATCCCGCATGTGCTCAATGGGATTGAGGACTGGTGACAATGGAAGAAGGGGCAGATGGGAAATTCCCAGGTTTTCTAAACTTTGAACAACTACTCTGCCTCTATGAGGTCATTGTCGTTCAGAAATCGAAAATCCCTGCCAATTAGATCCTTGGTTTGAGGGATGTATTCCTCGATTAATTTCTTGGAAGTTACGGACTGCGGTGAGATTGCCTTCAGCAGTGCAGTTCGTCCTCCAGTAAATCCCAGCCCAGACCATTACACCGCCCCCTCCAAACTACAGAAAGATACGCGAATCATCAGTAAGCATAACAGCATTCAGGTGTTCTCTTCGAGGCGCTCACTGCACCATATTCTCCTGAGTTTCTGGTGGCGGGCTGTTCCTGCAGGTCGTCTCAAAAGGACAGTGAAATGAGGATAACTATCCACAAAAGATTACGAATCGTTTGTGTTGATCTTGATCTTCATGTTTACTATTCTTAAATAAATCCGTTATTAAAAATGAGGATTAACATTTATTTATTTTTGGTTTGAACTTTCTATTTTGTTTTATCCAACTAACAAGACTATATTGGTTAATTTATTTAAAATTAATTTAATAAGAATAATTTACAAATATCTTTTTTGAGCAGTTTAGACAAACCATTTGTATTCATTAAAAAACAAAAATTCCACGTGAATAAATAATGTAGTAGTATTTGACATACAACTGAACTTTGACAAAACCTTGCAAGTCATAGATAGTAGACACTTTTGGAAGAATGCTGGGTCTAGGAGGAAACAAGTCATACAAGGTTGCGCAGAAGTGGGAGTGAGACTCCACAGATGCCCGTTTTGAGGAAACTTATCACGGTAGAGAACATAAAAACAGACTACAAAAACTAAGTCTGAAAAGAAACAAACGCGACATTCCGAATGACCTATTCGCGTACATGTGGCAGGGCAGCACGCACAGATTATTGATCCAATTTCTAAGGGCCATAAATATTTTTAATTGTATATAGATTATATCCATATATACATTGTATACAACATTGTACATCTATATTGTATATAGATATATTTATACGCTCATGTAAGTGATATGTGTTATTTGTTGGAATGAATTTATTTATTAGCGTGAATGGAAGGGAAATACTCCAAATTACCCGAAGAATACCGACAAATCTGGGGTGGTGTGAATGAATGTAATTTATTAGCGTGAAAGGCGGTTTATCACAAACTCCTCCGAGAAATATCAGAGTACTTTGAGGTTGTGTGAATGTAATTTATTAGCGTGAATGGAAGGGAAATACTTCAAATTACCCGAAGAATACCGACNATTTATTAGCGTGAATAAAGAGGCTTATCCATAATTATCCCAAAGAATATCTCGTATTCTAAGGTAGTGTGAATGTAATTTATGACCGTAAATTTAAGGGCTTATTTTTAATTACCCGGAGGAATACTAAATACTCTGAGGCAGTGTGAATGTAATTTATTAGCGTGAATAAAGAGGCTTATCCATAATTATCCCAAAGAATATGTCGTATTCTAAGGTAGTGTGAATGTAATTTATTAGCGAAAATTAAGAGCTTATCTCCAATTACTCCGAGAAATGCCAAGTACTGTGAAGCAGTGTGACTGGAATTTTTTCGCTTCGATTCGTAATCGTTTGATAAAGGCCTCGCCAAAACATCTTGTACTTCATTTAGGATCTAATGGAAAAGATAAATATGCGCTGAGATCCACTACCAGGCCTCCTATTGCTAAACGCTAAAGCCCGGGAGACCATGCACTGAGGAACGCCAATTGTCTCTGCGATATCCACTTGCCGGTGACCTCGAAGACTCATTGTCACAATAATATTGCGACCTTCTGGTTCGAGATGATGTCTTTCCATGGTTCAAGAGAATACATTTGGATTAAAATGGAGAAAAGCCGAGAAAAGGTGTTTATTTACAAAATGAGTAATTGATTGACATCGAGGATTCAAATGTGCGCTTCCCGAGGACCAATCTGAAGCCTTAATGAATTCCGGAACATTCTCCTCCAGCCACTGCTGAGTTGTTCGGGCCTTGTGCGCAGGAGCCGAGTCCTGTTGGAAGACCCAATGAGTTCCGGAAAAAAGATTAGTACTTAAGGGCTTTACTACTTTCTCAAGGATGTCTTCTTGGTAATTTTTCGCCCTTGTTTTGTCTCCTTGCTCACAAAAATGGAGTTTTGTGGTGCCATCGTAGCAAACTCCCCACCACACCAAGTGGGGATTTCAAGCCTCTGGACTACAAGGTGTGGTCCCATCTTGAGCTTATGGCATGCCACAGGAAACAAGCCAATTTAGGGAGCCTCAAGTCCGCTCTTCTAAAAGCAGTTGAGAAATTTCCTCAAGACGTGTTGTGTACTGCCATAGATGATTGGCCCCGAAGACTAAAAGCTTGTGTGAAGGCAAAAGGTGGTCATTTCGAGTAATATTATTTTATTTCAATCTTAAAAAATATTGGATGTTTTAAAATAAATCTCTTTTTCAAATTATCAAGTTTCTCTATTCCCTAATGGCCCTTTTTCTTGTAACAGAACTTATGGCAGGACTACGTATATATATATAATNCCCTCCTTTTTGCCATTTTTCAAATGTCGTGTAATCTATTTGATTCTCGGCGACAAATGAAATGGCCACGGAGAGCTTTAGTGAAGTATACTTCATTTTAACACTCAACTTAATCAATTGAATGATATTAATTGGTCAAGCGGACCACGAAAACTAGTGAATGTAATTTATTAGCGTGAATAAAGGGCTTTATCCATAATTACCCCAGAAGAATATATCGCATTCTAAGGTAGTGCGAATGCAATTTATTACCATAAAATTAAAGGTTTCCTTCCAAATATCCCGAGGATTACCAAGTACTCTGAGGCAGTGTGACTGTAATTTATTAGCGTGAATAAAGGGCCTTATCCATAATTACCCCAAAAGAATATATCGAGTTCTAAGGTAGTGTGAATGTAATTTATTAGCGTAAAATTAAGGGTGCTTTCTAATTACCACGAGGAATACCAAATAATCTGAGGAAGTGAATATGTGAATGTAATTTATTAGCGTGAATGGAGAGGCTTTGTCCCAATTACCTCGAGGAATATCGAGTACTCTAGGGTAGTGTGAATAGTTGTTTGAATGTAATTTATTAGCGTGAATAGTTGGGCTAATCCCCAATTACCCCAGTACTCTGGGGTAGTGTGAATGCTAACCAGACTATCATGTGTTTATTCTGTGTACTTGTGTTTTGCCTAATAATAAATAAAACCTAGAACAGAAAAAAAAACATTTAAAAAATCGCACATAATCCGTTTAATACGATACAACGGTTGAGTGAATATCTTAACTGGCCAATTTTTTTAAATCTTTCCGCTATTCAGACGAAAATAAAATACATTTTTTTATGTAAGGTTTTGGTTGAAAAGAAAAATCTAGTGCCACGAACGAGATTCGAACCCATGACCTTCGACTTGATGGCCAATTACTTGAAAGAATAATTAGGTCAATGACCACTAAATATAATGGATAAAATATATTGTATAAGTTTCTTTCTAAAATATCGAACATTACTAGGTTAGGGTCTCATTAATTAAGTATCAAAGTATAAATACAAACCTAATCACACAAATGCATTATTTATTTCACGTCCTACATATCACAGGGTCATCTAATCAAAACTCACAAATTTTTAAATGATTGCGTTAAAAAACGAATCTATTCTTTCAGATTAACAATAGAATTGATCGTTTTAACGTTATAACTCGTGTCGTGGAATAATTAGACCATGACTCAAATTTCTACTGTTTAAAAATAAATTTCCACTTACTTTGTGACAGTCCACCTTTGCTCGTTTACCGACCTCCACCCTTCCATTCCTTCCTTCACACGTTCCGCGGCCACGACCATTCATGTTTTCAGCTTTTCTGCCCAAGGACCAACCTGCATCAGGAAACCGTTAACCCTCGAGGGGGGCCGAAAAATTTTAAATGAACCTGACCTTGCTCCGTTTATGGAATGCATCGTGTAGTACTTTTGTGGAACCTGTTTTAAAATAACTGCCCTTCACAATTATTCGAGTAATTAATCAATTTCAAAAACTAAATGGGTATTTTCCATGTCGAGCATATGTTTACATTAGGTGAAAAACATGTGGTGAAATCTGATCCAATCGATTCTAGAGGTGATTGAATGAGCATGCCTATTAAATTAATAAAAGCGTTTTCCTAATTTTAAGTCGTAAAAAGTCAAAGACAATAAAATTAAAATAAAGCTTCACTCATTAATCATAAATTGTCCATTTTGATATTCATTACAACGATTTACTTTAAGAACAGTAAAACATTCTTCCATTTTGACATTGCATAAAAATGACTGTGATACATAAGCATACGGACACGCTTGAACAGAGTAGAGCCCATTACTTACCCTCGCAGTCCATAAGCAATTTCAGCTTTTATTTTGTTTGTTGTGATCTACAAACAAATTTGAACAACTAAGATCCACCTAATCTTAATTACTGTGTGTTGTTATGTAAAAAATTATAAATGGGATTTGAATTTGGAATTATATAAGCTCAAATCTGCACATGTATGTACATACGTACACAATGCTGAGCCTATCATATCTCTTAGCCCACTGGCAATTACAGCATTTGTAATTCACAATAAATTACCAGCAGTGCTCGAAAATCGCTCACCTCGAATTTTGGCAGTTCGGGGTCAGACCACCGGGATGCTGTCAACAGCTAGATCTTTTCAGCATCTCACTCACCTTTCACACTCTCACTCTTAAGTACATTCTTTTCATCCACATACCATTCACCCACAATCAGTTAGGGTTGGGTGCTCGATATTCCTCCATAACCCTTTGCACCTATTATATAACCTAACTGGGTTCCGATGGGGTACTCAATATTCCGTCATCAACCCTCTCACGCAACACGTTCACTCTAATAAATACATTCACTCTCAATTTATCCCAGGGACACACAACTATCAATACTATTTATAATGAAACAAGCCTGTTTTCTCAAAGTTTCGGAACAGAGGACCCAAAAACTCGCTTATGTGCTTAAGCACAATTCTCATGGCATGGAATTGCACATTGAGCAGCCTTTCTGCGTTCCGGATAGTGACGTGCGATACCAATCGAGTAAAGTATCGAGTAATAATAATAATAATAATACTTTATTGCAAAAAAGAAAAGTTATAAACATTACATAGTATATAATTTAAAGCAAAATTACGGCATGGAGGGTCCGTCTGCCGGAGGTCTATTTTCATTTGACTTAAATTTTTGGTCGATACAGAGAAAAATGTACAAAAAAAAAAATTTTTTTTAAATGATAATAAGGGGCGTCGGTGGCCGCAAGGTTTAGTCTTTGACACGGCGCTCATCACTGTAAGGTAAAGGTCCCGGGTTCGAATCCAGCGGCCTTGCATTCGAACCCGACATACTTACAAATGGCCTTTTTTTCAAAAACACCGTCACCCTGAGGGTTTATATGAACTCTGCTGTTGCGAACCCTCGTAAAAAAAAAAATAAATACCAATTCACAAGAAATACAATAAAAAAAAAGTATCGAGTATTTTCTTTCGATACCGAGTATTTTTGTTATCGAGTATTCTTATTCGATACAAGTACTGTATCCAATACACTTTGTAGTATCGGAAAATATACTCAAATAGATATTTCGTCGAGAGTTCAATATTGAATTGTTATTTACAGTACGAAACTTACCTTTTACCAAACTGGGAATTGACTAGTTACTGTTAAGAGCGCCTAATAGCAGCATGTGTCAACAAAGTTAATCGAGATTTTTAATTGGTGGTTGGTAACTGCTGATAATTCTGGTAACTCATAATTCTTTCCCGCGTCGCACCTCGCACGTTCAATTTCAGTAATTTCTTATAAAATGTTATTTCCTTCAAGTCCCTAAAATGTGTTTGACTTCCTTCTCGTAGGTAGATACCTAATCATGTCTCCTCCCAAAATAAGGCATGAGGTTATTTTACTAAGAAAACTGAATCGTCGGCATCTTGTAAACTCTGGGGAATACAGTGGAAATACGTCTTATCTTTTCAAACATATGAAAACCAAACACACGTTGATCAATTTTCTCAAAAATAGATGACGATAAAATTGAAATATCAATGATGTTGAAGTGTGTTGGCAGCTTTTTCTTTTCTTACCTACGTACTCACTGTGTGTAAAATACTTAAAAATGAAAAAATGCAATTTCCTGATTATTTTACCGCATGAGCGTATTTTAACCAAAGTCCACAACATTAAGTTGATCATTTATGAATAAACGAAAACCTACTCATATGAGTAAGTACTCGTTAGTATCGAATAATTTCTGTCGATATTTGAGTAGTAACGAATATTTCTTTCTATAGTATTGAATATTTTCTAGTTTCGCCCGTCACTAGTTCCGGACAGATTAATAGTCAACCTCAAAAGCCCTAGAATACATACAAAATAAACATAAAATAAACAAGCTTATATATGGACAAGATAATAATGACTCTTTAAACTTAATTTCTTCTTTTTTAAATTTAATTAAATTATGTACTTTAATGGATATTTACACAAGATGATTTATTCAGACGGAAAGATCATTTCTTTACCAATTACTCGCAATCAGAGTCTAGATTGTATTTAAATCTGAGTTTTCAAAATTCAAAAACTGCTATTCCCTAAATTTTCGACGTATATATTGTTAAAATAACTTACTTGAACCTTGTTATAAAGTATAAATAAACACTCTGCTCGGAACTTAAGGGATCAATTGGTTAAACTTTTCTCTAGTACCATTTTAAAATAATTTTGTCCACAATGGTCAAAAAGAAAAAATCATTCTTTAGCTGCATAAAAGATATGTTACTGCTTGCATAAACTGACGTTAAGGTATTAGGAATTTTTTAAAGGATTTTACATAATACTAAGCCCGGAATATCCGATATCGTTTTTCGGTTAATCCCTTCCTGGCTGTTGAAAATGTCATTGACTAAAAATTAGAACACATATCTCCGAAGTTGACCAAATAGATAGCCGTAGAATAGCACATCGTAGGTAATTGCCATGTAGTAAACCGACACCGATTTGTAGGTCTGCGGAGCTTTCGAGAGAGCAAGCTCTGGAGCTTCGAACGAAGTATGTTTTCGTGGAAGCCGTTCGGAAAAATGAAGACAACAACAAACAAAGATCACGTTTTAAGCCAGGTAAATAGAAAATAAGATGGGGTATAATTTTTTTATTGCTTTTTTCCCAAATGATTAGGTACGGATTGATACTGAAGTTTTCTATGTATTGAAATTTAAAGTGTAATTTTCTCTACACGTTGCAACTGAAAGTTTGTTTTTATTTATGTTTGTGTTTACATTTTTTCGCTTCCTATCCACTTCTTATCACCTTATCCTGAAATCCTATCCGACCGCTGCTTCAGAGTAAAGAACGGCAACGAGTTCTTGGAAGACAGATAGATACAAGCCGGCGTCCAACAAGGGAGCATTTTTGGTCTCATCCTTTATATCATTTTCATGTTTACTTATACTCCCTTATACCATCAAAACCGAACAATAACTTAATTTTGTGGTTAAACTCGAATTCTATAAAAGGTACTTCCAATGTCCAAGAACACTTTGAGCTTATCGACGATTGGTGCAAACAGTGGAGGACAGGACTTAACGAACCAATGTGTACTCAGTGTAAGTTCACATTGAAAAATCAGTCCTCCACTGAAAATCATCAACAAGGATATACCGATTTCCGTCCAAGACAAATACTTAGGACTTTATTTAGACAGCAGACTGCCGTGAAATCCCCATACTTAAGAAATAATAACTTAACAATCATAAGAAAACTAACGTTATATATGACTTTCAATTAATTAAGGTTTTTAGTTGAGATAAAAAAGTCAGTGTCACGAGCCGGATTCGAACCCACGATCATTGTCTAGATACGCCGGTGCTCTACCACTTGAGCTAACGTGACGTCGATCCACTCGGACACTAACTCCCCATCTCAACCCCACCTTTTTTGAATTTCCCTCCTTTTTGCCATTTAATGATGATAGTATAAATGGCAAAAAGGAGAGAAAATTAAAAAAAGGTGGGGTTGAGATTGGAAGTTAGTGTCCGAATGGATCGAGGTTACGATAGCATAAGTGGTACATCAGCGGCGTATCTGGCCGAAGATCGTGGGTTCGAATACCGCTCGTGACACTGACTTTTTTATCTCAACTAAAAACCTTAATTAATTGAACGATATTAATTGGTCAAGCGGACCAAGAAAACTAGTGAAGTTATATATGACTTTACTGCGACCACTTTGGACATAAGGAGTGGAACTGTGGGGTTCAGCCAAGCAAGCCATCTAGCATACACCGCATCTAATCATTTCAATTTTTAAAAAAAATCGTCAAAGCTCCTTACTATGTCACCAAACTATCCATAACGACCCCGACATTCCTTTTGTCAACGAACAAATCCGTTCCCGAATCCAAAAGCGTCAAACTAACCTCTCAATCCATCCAAACTCCTGGAGCCCTCTCTGCACATTCCCATCCAGAAAACCCGCCTTGACATCCTTGCCCCTCACACTGAGTGCTATTGATCGAATGAATTGAATTTGAAGCAATTGAAATTTGAGAGGACATGCAAGGGCTATCAACAGCTGGGTCATTTCAGCAATCAACTTAATCATTCTCATATTCACTCCCTCACTTAAATACATTCTTTTCTAGTAATATACCACTCACTCAGATAGGGTGGTGGAGTACTCGTTATTCCTCCACCATTACACCTGCTATATAACTAACCTAATTGAGGGTCGATGTACTCAATATTCCGCCATTAGCCTCGGCCTTCCTATTCACGCTAATAAATGCATTCACTGTCTACATTTGCTAAGAACATGAAACGGTTTTTCCCAGGGGGATAATAGCAGATGCGATTTAACACATTATTTTGTATATACCTATTGCTATTGCTAAATAGGAAGATATATATAAATTAAGTGAACACAATAGAATGAATCCTTTTTAAAAAGATAGTTCCTACTCACAGTAAGTTTTTTTGAAACAATCCGGATTTCGAGCTTTTAGCTCATCATCATCACATACGCCGTACTCACTCCATCATTTATAACAATTGAAT